ACAATTTTCTTTATGCAGCAGTCTTTTCTGCCTTCTACTTACACAGAATTTTTCTTTTCTAAAAACATCTAAAACATATGAAAGGAATTTCAGGTTTCATGTTTAAAAAGTTGAAGTTCAAAATTGTCAGTAATAGATACTCAATTTGCCACCTTTTTTGGTCTTTAGCTAGTTGCCTCAATAAATTTTATTGAAAGAAAATAAAAATTGTTGCTCAGTAATGATCTTTAACATTCAGTGACTTGAAATACTTTAGGATTTAACTAAAAATTACTTAAACAAAACTCTTTTAATAGCTTTCAAAAACACCATTTGAACAAATAATTCATTGAGCTATTATATGACCTACATGCTAACAGTAAATATTTGGTACTCAAGAGGCAATAATTTAAGTTGAAATTATAAATGTATTTTAAAAAATCTGATTTCTTGTGATTTAGTATCCATTAATTTTTGCCATTTTTGTGTATTTCAAATGCCCCAGAGTTAATGGTAGTATTCACAGACTTATTTACTTGTAGTTCTGCCTTTCCTTGAGGCATTTCTAAGTGCCCAAAACTATTAATAAGGATGAATAAATAGACACAAATGAGCTTCTTTTCAGTCATTTACAATTTAGTCCACTATGTGCTAATCCTGTGTCCTACGTTAATCAACCCCAAAACACAAGTCTTCCATTGTGCTCAGTAGAGATGAGGCATATGTGGTCGAATTCAGTCAAAATATTAATGGAGACATTTGAGAACCATCACCTTCTTGAGAAAACTAGCAGGTAAAATACAGTCATTTTCAGCCAAGTTAAATTCCCATGTCCATGAGTTGCACAACCCTATTAAAGTCAGTAAGTGTCAAAGTCTTGAGCTATGGACTAGACAACATTGCCCAATAACCACAATTAGGGTTTCCAGAATCTGCTGTTCCTCTTTTACAAATCTGAATACTTCTTCTTATGCTATCTCTAATGCACATTATTCATGCTCGTGTTGAAATACTGACAATTTATGGGGAGAGTTCAGCAGTTTTGTGCAGCACTGGAAATCACTGCCCAAATAACAGAAGGAAAACTACATCAGGAAATTATCTCATAAACATTCTTAAAATCCTATTTTATTATGATGTGCTTTTTTTTAAATATACAATAGTATTTTGTTAAATCTTCAGTTTGTTCTGAACTGTAAAACTAGATTTAAATCCTCAGTGTTATGTTCTTTCACTGACTTGTCCTGATTTTACTTCTCTGTTTTCCCCTCTCCACATTTGTCCTTTTATCAGTTAAGTTGACATACATTGCAATCATCTCTCTCAGTCTTGGCCTTCATTCCCACTTACAGTTGAAATAGTTCACCAGTATTCAGAACTGTTATTTCCCACTCAACTCACAGAACTCCCAAGATGCAAAATCTTAATGCTATTGATATTTAAAGGCAGTTACTATTATTTACACAAATCCACTCTATCTTCTTCAGGAAAATTAATTCATTTTCCCTTTTGCTTTTTATAATATCAAGAATGTGTATGTATGTGTGAGACAGAAAATCTAGTGAGAATCAAAAAGTGGGACTGAAACAAAGACTTTATAATATTTCTGTTTATTAAAAACATTTGTTTGGGTTTTATGGAAATGTGTGTCTTTATAAAACTCTAAATATGATTTTGTGCAAAATAATGCCTTCTCTATTGAAAATGGAGATGACTGTGCTTAAAAAAAAACAATAAAAATAATAATAATGAAAATTAAAAAATAAAAACAATGTCTTCTCTGATTAAAAATCAATCAGGCTTTTTGGTTACCAAGTAGAAAAGTAGATGCGGGAAGGATGAATTTTGCAGGTCATATTGAAGCTTGGAGCGAAATACATTTTTGAAATTTAAGGAAACATGATATAATTATTTGTTAATATTATGTATCCGTTAATATTTACAAACATGAAAAACTCTTTTTAGAAGAGATAGAAGTCCAGGTACAGATTATCATTTTTGGTTAAGTATTATACACACATCTTTTGTCACTCTTAATAAATGACGAATTGTCCTGTGGGCAATCCAACATTTATGGCTGAACCAAAGGAGTCTCCATAATGCATTTTTTTTTGTGGCTTGTAGCAAATGAACTTTGGTCTTGAGGGAGAAGTTGAGTTTTTGATTTACTGGTTTATTTCCAAAGCCGATTACCAGGGAATCTCTACAAATATTTTTAACATAAAGTTAGCAAAGTTTAGAAAGCATTCTAACATTTTCATTCACTCCTTCTATGCAGACCACATTTGTTTTCTGTGTAATCCTTTTCCCCTCTTAACAACAGCTGTAGCACAGTTTAGCGCCCATTAGTCTAAAGCTATTATTAACTAAAACTTCTCAATTACCTCTAAGGGAAGCACTGCAGGGGGCCAAAGAGTACATCAGTGTAGGGTGTTCCATTGGTCTGCCCAACATTTTATCCATTCAGTACTTGCTATAATACACATCTTTAGAGTAATCAATCAGATAATCGACCAGCCTGAAAGATCATTGATAATCTACTACATATAAAGCATTGTAGTAGTCAATATTTTGAGAATACAAAGAAACATGTTAAGACAGGAATAACACTACTTTGACTACCCTCAAGCAACAGTCAAGGGTTCATGACATGCAGCAATTTGTAATTTTGCTGAGGCATGAAATTGAATTGAATGTGGCAAGAGGTGGGTGTCTAGTAGGAATCCTTTAACAAGAGTGAGCTTGGATAACTGGCCCACATATCTTCTCACAGTGGTTTAGATATTCTCTACTTGTGGTCAAGTTACTATGTAGTAATTCCCATGACATGATAAAAACCTATTTCCTTTGTGAGTACTTTTCCTGGAAATAAAAGTCAGCTGCTAGTTCTGGTGGATGAAAGTGGAAGCAAAACTATCCAAGAAAGTGATGGTTCTAATCCAGAAAGTAGAAGTTTTACAGAGACAATTGCATGCTAAACTGATATTCATGAATTTGGGCGTGCAGTATCCTTCATGAATGTTGAGGGTCTGCCGTACAAAATAAAGTCCTTATCACCAAGGAACATTTAGAAAAAAATGTAACATTCACTGATATAGTTACCTTCTTACAAGCCACATTGTCTTTAGGTCATTGCAGACATGGATTTCATTTTAATTACATTGCAGATCAGGACATCCATGTTATTTATAGCTTCCTGTTATTGTGTACACAATCAGCACAGTGTCTACTGTTCTACTACACAAGATCTGAGGTGTGACCAAAACTGTAATTGCTATTTTTGAGGAATTTTGGGGTGTTTTGATTTTTTTATGATTTTGTTTGTTTTAGTTAGGGTACTAGCTAATATAGCTTAAGTTAAAATAATGCTAAGAATCAGAGGTACCTATTTCAATTAATTGTAGCAACGTGCAATATAGACCTGGGCTAAAACTATTCTATAAGGAAGTGGGATTTGATATATTTTCTCAAGCTGGCTTAAACATTTTTTTCTAACAGAATAAGTTTCAAAATGGTTTTTGAAGCCCAGAATACGGTGATAGTAACATGATGTTGCACAGTGGAAGTATACAGCATATCTTGGCCACCTGTTCCTGATGAAGATCAAGGCCCATCATTTCAGCCTATGGCAGCTGTTGCTTTACATCCTCCTTTCTTACTGCTGCTGTTGTATATCCAGCCTTCCAGGGTCTCCTAAACTTAGGCTGCTACTGTTTGTGGTTCCTGCCCTCACTATTTTCACATTATTTAGGCTGTTCCTGTTCTTTCTCTAACTTGTACAAATAGTGCTCTTAATAAGGAATGAAAATCCAATGCTTGACTTCTTGAATGTAAAGCTTCCTCTTTTCCTGGACAAGTACACAACAGAATGGGGAGCAATGGGGACAAGGGAAATAGGAAAGAAACAAGTCATTTATCTCTTGAAGTTTGCAAAGTACTTTTTGAAAATGAGAATTTTTTTGTATTTTTAAAATCCTCTCCACCCATTAGCCTCAACACTACATTGCTGCTATACTTACACCTCGCTCGTTATGTATTTACTTTTTATATAACTAAGCAGCACCCTGTCATAAATGAAATATTCATGCAGAAAAAACCTGCTCAAAATGCATTTATAAAAAGAACACATAAAAACTACCATCTGCTCCCACTCCTTGCAAGCCCTTAGATACCCAAGTGTAAGCCCTCTGATTCTACAGAGAGGTAAGGTAACATGCCCATGATGTATTCCTGAAAGCCAAACCCTCAGACATTTTATTAAGATAGATCTATGAGCTCTGGCCATCGAAATGCTTAGATCAACATTGATGGACTTAGATATTGCACATAATGAATTCACGTGCTAGCATATTGTAATGGGTAATCATACCCGGTCATATTGTGCTGAAATGAGCTGAAATTCTTCTGGGAAGTTGTGAAAGCATTTTGTAGTCAATTGATAACATAGTGCTTTGTGATATGTCTTCCTTTAAAGAAAGTTGTCCAGACATTCTAGAACTCCAAGCTAAAGTGTGGGCACTTGGATACTGTATCGTTTTTAATTCAGCTAAGAAAGCTAGGGATACTTCTGATATACTTAGGGGATTTTACTGCTTACCCTTGGAGTATCACCATTACTACACATAAGATACATGATTTTCTCAGTAGTTTAATTTGTTTCAAATGGTAAATTGCACCTTTATGAGTTCTATGAATACTATAAAGAAATTCTCCCTTTCTGTACCCTCTCATTCCCATCCAACACATTCCTAACTTCCTTTGATGTTCTGTGTGTCAGCCTATAGTCATTGGCACCAACTCAATGCCAATAGGGATCCCAACTTGGGGTGTATTGAAAGAAAACTTTACTCAGTGCAAAATGACTCCATTATGACACAGCACAGCTGTAAGGAAACCCTGGGCACTTGGGCCATGTCTTTCTCTAGCTAGACAACTTTGTTCTCACCAGTCTGTTCTTCTCAGCTCTGGTGAGACATTTTCAGTGTTTCAGCTCAGCCAGGGAAACACAATCTTCAGTGGAAAGGAAGGGTGCACCCCCAGAGCCAGAGGAGAGCTGGCTTGTATTGACAGATGTTCCAGCCCCTGAATCCTGATTGGTCTGTCCTCATGCAAATGAGGTCTCCAAATTCTCACAGTATGATTGATGTAATAGGCACTGTCCTCATTTGGTTACAATAAAGTTGCTCTGGTTGGTTGGAGCTTGACAGCTTGATTGGATGGGGAAAGCTTTAGTCTTATTAGTTAAAACAGGAGTCCAGAAACTACTTTATAAGGGCTGGCTCAGGCAGTAGAAACATATACAGGCAGGCAGTTCAATGCAGAGGCAGGTAGTTCAGTGCAGACTTCTCCATGAAGTGGTTTGTGTAAGAAACTCTTGTGTAGAAATGGCTTCTAGGCTCTTGGTTTGTTTTTTTTTTAATTTTTAATTGTTTGAGTCCATTTAGCCACCCAGAGCCTTTCTTAGTAGGTATCTTCTATCTCAGGGTCCATAAGTATTATCCACTCTTAACTTTGTATATGAAATTTTCATGTTTATTTTTCCTCAGTGAGAATTGTTTGCCTGTAAGTGATCATAAAGCAAAATAACAATGGATTAACAAGAGAAAAGTTTGTTTTTCTCTCATAGAGGAAATATCCAGAGGTAAGCAGCCTAGAACTAGCATAGTGGTTTCAGAATTATCAGGAAACAAGTCTCCTTTCTGTTGCTGTTCCATGACCTTAGTGCATTAACTTATGTTCAAAGATGACTTCAGTTCCAGTCATTTTATTCATTCCACATAGCAAGGAGAAGAGTGTTCTGCTCCTTGTTGTTTTAATAAGACTTCTGGGAAGTATCACACACTTTGAACATACCTTTTTAGACCATAACTTAGTTACATCATTGCCACCCAAAATATTGGGTTGACCAAAAAGTCCATATGATTTTTTCTGTAAAATAAAAGACACAGTTTTTGTTTGCACCAATAACTTTATTGAATTGGATATTTTGAGTATGTTGGCTATCTTCTGCATGGTATATAACATTGATTGTTCTCAATTAATGTCTCGATTTGATTGTTATCAGTTTCAACTGGTCTACCTGACCGTGGAACATCATCTACTGAGAAATCCGCATCATGACATTTCAAAAACCACCTTCGACACATATTCAAACAGTCACTGCACCTTCTCCACACACTGTACAAATCTTTTGTTTGTTTGTTTTTGTATCTTAGTTGTGTTTTTCTCTTTCTTGAAATAGTAGAGCATGATATGCTGAAAGTGTTCCATATTTTTGTCCATCTTCAATATTAAAATTGCTACACAAAAATTCACCAATTTTGATGTTTTTTAAAAAAATGCATGCTAACATGATAGCTGTCAAAATACAATCTAACAAAATTGTGAATGAACTGAAAGGCAACTAAGCAATACTAGAACACCTTACAGAAAAAAAAAAATGAATGTTCTTTTTGGCCAACTCAACATATTCAGAATTCTTGCCCTAAGGAAGAGGGGGAGAACAGGCACTGAGACAGGCACCCACAGCCTCTGCTTCACTTCACTAGATCAACCATAACTTGCTGTTACATATCATTTGCTGGAGTTTAAATTTCTAATTGTCTTATTTGGTTAAACAATTCAAGTGTTTATTATTCAATAATCAAATTATAGACAAAATAAAATAGAGAAAAATTCTGGGGTATTGCAGTAAGGCACTTGGCTCGTTGTTATACTTTGTTTTCTGTCAAGCAAGTTCTAAGACTGTCTTGACATGACTGATCATACTTAATGACCTCCATGAATACAGATTTGGGTCCATAATTCCATGGCCAAGACTCTTGATGGTTTTCTCATGATTAAATGACCACATATTTTATGAACCAAACCAAAACACTTTTGAGAGTGTGAAAGGGGAAGTTACTAATAATTATATTAGAACAACAGGAATAAGTCAGGACTGTCCAGAGCAAATGGGAGTGCATGATTGGTCATCTACTCACCTTTCAAACTGGATCCCTTCACAGATCTTGTACAGGTATCAGTTTACTATTACTAATTTACCAGCCATTTCTCCCTAGAAATGCATAGGATACAAAGAAAACATGTCAGAACTGGACTATTAGCATACAGATCATATTTATGAATTTGATATAGAAGGGAAGAAATCCTAGTTAAAGGGTCCAGATTAAGTGAGAAAAAATGAACTGTTTCCAGCTATTCATGCTACTGTAAAAGAAAATTGCCCCAGGAAATAAATATCAAAGATGGACATTTATTCTTAGTGCTCAGCATCTAAGTTTTAAAGTACTCTTCTTGGTCTCTCGGAATTTGTAGTACTTTTATCCGTCATTCTGAATACTTTTTCACTTTAACGTATAATCTGTGACACTTGGCAATTGTTTGTTGGGGGGATTTGCTCTGGCTAAAGTCCAGCCATAAAGAGCAAGGCTGAGAGTGAGAGCCCAGGTAGACAAACTACTCCAGCTTTCTTCATGGGCAATACCATGGTGCCACCATTAAAAATTGCCTCTGTTTATGATAAAACCTAACACTAGATTCTACCTTTGCCCTTATTTCATATATTTTGTATAATTTTCCTGAATCATACTTCTACCTGAAAAAATAACTACTTATTAACTTGTGCCTTATTTTTCTGGAAGCTTCCAAATATACTTAATGCTTAACTAAGGAGAAACAAAGCCACTTGGTGAATTTGGATTAGTGATAATTATTAGAAATATTTATACATATCCACAATGTACATTATATTTTCATGCCAGTTCAAAACATGGATATTCGAGTCATACTTCTAAAGTTAAAATCCCTGCCCTCCTGCTTCCTAACTGTGTAACTCTAAGTATATCAACTATTTGTAAAAGGAGGACAATTTTAGTAATTACCTCGTAGTTGCTGGAGTATTTATTGAGTTAATATGTTTAAAGTGCTCTAAGTACTACTTGGCATACAGTAAGAGTTTTTTAAGTGTTTGCTATTTACAACCTAGAGATGGACAAAAGATATGAAGCTTGTCTCTGTATATAGATCAAATCAAACTCAAGGAGTGCACAACTGAAATAATTTTCAATAAAAGCATGTGCTTTTTCATGGCATCTCAATCTTTGTTAAGCTTACCACTTTCTTCTATTTGCCTGGCTTCTAAATCTTAGTCTTCTTCCTTCCCTTTCTTTTCTCCCTCACATTAGAAAGTGCTCAATTCTCCTTCCAAAATTTATATTCTCTTTTTCTCCTCCTACTGGTATTGTTCTCACTTAGACTCTCTTAATTCCTTGCCCAAATAATTTTGATAAGTTTCCTAACTTGTCTTTGTACCTCCAGGTTAATTCCTTCAAAATCATTTTATATAGTTTATAGAATATCCATTGTTAAAAGTCCTCTTGCTCAAAATAATCTCTAACTTATCCATCATAACACTTACAATTTTACCACAATGTTCCAACCTATCTTTGCATTCTCATCTTTCTGCACCCTCATGCCCCAGATAAACCAGAGAATTAACTGTGCATTTAGCACCTTAATATTTTTTCCTACACCCTTCCCACTAACTGGAATGTTCTTGTGATCTCTGTTTTCTAAATAGTAAAGCCTTACCTACTTTAAAAGTCTAGCAGAGATATAAATTTCTACAAAAAACTTTTTCTGAGTTATCAGTACTCTTTCCTTCTTTGGAGGTTCTATGACTTATACATTTGTGATAGTTCTTTGTATTGCCCTATAGATTATAGTTTCTTATTAATACCTGTTTAAGTCTTAATCCAAGTATCTTTCATCTTTACACTTCTTAGCAGAGTCTTCCTCTTACCCACTGAACTCTCCCAGGCCACTGAATATGATTGTGAAATTTTTATACTGTTCTAATGAATAAGACCATGAAAGCTAAAATCTAGCCAGTTCTCTGCCGGTCAAGCCATGTGACACAGTCTGTGTCATAGAGGGGAGCCTTTCTTTAATTGATCAATCCAGAGCTCACCAAAAGTGTTGCCTCATTCTTTATACTTCTTCCAGTAGGCAGGCCATGCATCTTCCAGAAGGAGCATCTTTTTCTAAACAGGACCCGTTTCAATTAGCAGCACCTCTGGACACTCATAATAGGTTGTTAAGAAAACAAATCACAATTTTTACAGACTTGTGTCAAAAGATGTTAGTGAAGCTATAGCAGGAAACTTAAAGCTCACAGACTCTAGCTCCTCTATGGCAGACACCCTCCTTTACCAAGTAGATTACCTGGGATAGTGATGATTAACAAGAGGGTAATGCGATCATGCAAGCAACTGCATCTCATGTTTATAAAGTGCCTAAGTTAGTTAGATAGGACTGGCTAGAGTAACAAGACTCAAGACCATATAATGTCTCAAATATGAATGAAGTTTATCTCTAGCTCACATAATATTCCAAAGAGGGCATTCTTGGTTGGCAGGCAGCTTTCCCCCACATGGTGATTCTGAGACAAATTTGCAAGGTTTAGAGAATTTCAAATAGTTTCATCTGGCTAGCATACTAGAAGCATGAGGGAATGTGGCAGAAGATGAAACTAGCAAGACAGGCAGGGCCCAGAATGTGAATGTATTTGAAAGTCTTGTAAAGAATTGGACTTTGTCCTTCAAGTGATAGGAGGCTACCAGAGTTAGTTTCTTGCTTTGTTTTTGTCATTATTGTTTTTCTTATCAGGACGGTTAATGTAATTTGATACAAAATGTTAGAAAATTAACACTGTCCTTAGCATGGAAGCTGACTTGGATCATTGTGAACAGAAAGACAGAATCGCCGTGGCCAAAATGACATTCCAGAAAAGATGAAAGCTCACAATAAGGCAGTGGCAGTGGTGATGGAGCAGAAGGGAGAAGCAAAAGAGCAATTTATGAAACAAATCACAGTAGGCTTGCTGATTATTTAAAATTCAAAAGATTAGAAAGAAAAAGTTGAGTATACCCCAGCTTCTGGGCTGAACTGAAGTCTGTCTGTGCCTACTGAATCAACTTGTTCATTTCTACTTCAACACTGAATTTAGTTGTGCTAATAAGATTTTTTTATTTTGGTCACTAGTGAACAAATTGAATGAAAATGAATGCCTTTTCTACTGCTAATCCCTATGAAGGCCATGTGGATAAAACTTTCAAGGTGGAATGTAAGAATTCATCACATTGTCACTGTAAAGTGTCCAGGATTCCTGTTGGTTGAGTAGGAAAATAGCTGGCAAAAACTGACTATAGCCTTTCAACAATGGTTGATTAACTGAAATGTCACCCCCCCCAAAAAAAATTCCACATATGGGAACCTTAAAATAGAGTTAGCATTGTCTATTCTGAAGTTGCTATTCATTACTCATTGCCTTACTTTATTTTTAAAAGATTTGAAATGTGAAAATTTACAGTCCTCAATAAAAATCAGCACATATTAGATTACTTAATAACTTGTCCCTCATTGTGGCTGTTGCACATTATAAAGCACAGAAGCACTCATGGAGACTTAAGCTTGCTGCTTTGTTTTCCCAGCAATGTGGAAAAGACAGACTGGCCTCTTGAATCCACCTCCCAGGGTTTTAAGAAAATTGGAAATGGTTTGACTCTTCACTGAATCTTCACTGCCATATAAAGCTGGCTGAACGTGGCATTCTGAGTTAAATTGGCACAGCTCTGCAGTATTGGAATGGTATTTTTTTGACAAGGTTGGATGGCATATGTAGTTTTGTGTATTGTTCTAGTGCTTCTTAAATCAAGTTGCCCAATTTAAGTCAAACAAATGTTCTCTATTTTCCACTGTCCCTTCAGATTACACCAGTTCTTTGCTTGATCAAATCATAACTCCCTGACTATAATCTGCAAATTTCCCATGATGCTGAGAAAAAATTTTCATTATAATAAACACTAATAAAATAATACATTTAATTATACTTTAAATGACTGAACATTTTAATTCATTATTCTTATAACTATAATTCTCATAACTATACATTTTTAGTGAGTAAGGGTTTATAAACCTGTGTAAAATAAGTGACTATATTGAAAACAAAAATGGTTCTCAGATCTTAAATAAGTTCCTAGATTGCTTTAATTTCTTAAAGATAATTTATCTACATTAAGTTACATTCAACATTTAGAAGACTTCTGGTCAAGATGAAGGTGTAGGTAAACACAGCTTACCTCAAACACAGCAAAAATTATAATTAGACTACTAAAAAAATGTCACCAAGAATCACTAGAAAATCAAGCTATATGGAAATCTGACAGCCAAGGAATTAAAGTCATATTCATCCAAATGGGTAAGTAGGGCAGAGACCCAGAGACTGGCATGGAGGCACAGAAACATGGACAGGTGGTCCCACACCCATGTGTGATGGATAAAAATCAGGAGGGATACCTCAGGAGCAAAGGATCCCAGGCCCATGCCAGATAACCCAGCCTAGGGTTCCAGTGCCAGGAAGATGCATCCCTATAACTTCTGGTTGTAAAAACCAGTGGAGGTTGGGGGAGTGGAAGAAACTGCAGGATTCTCAAGAATCTCCTCTTTAAAAGGCTTATCTATGGACTTAAGTCTTATGCAGACTCACCCATTCTCAGCTTTAGCACCCAGGCAGCAGCTGGAAGGATACCACTGGCATACAAGGAGAAATTAAATTGTCCGACATCATGGTTAGTGCCCAGGAACAGCTTCATCATGGACAAAACTCCAGAGGCCAGGCAGCTTCATTATCCCTTTTCTGAGACTACTCCCACACAGAGCCACAAAACAGCACCACCATATCTGAGACTGCTCCACCAACTTAGTTCACACAGGTGATCTTGAGGATTGCCCAAGGCTCTGCCCCATCCAACATACCAGTGTGCTTTTCTATAATAGGCTACACTACTAAGACAAGGAGTCAAAATAACTCTACCTAATACATAGAAACAAATGCAGGGAGGCTGCCAAAATGAGGAGATAAAGAAATAGGGCCCAGATGAAAGAAAAGAAAAAAATCCAAAAAATTAATCAAATTGAGATAAGCAATCTGTCAGAGGCAGAGTTCAAAACACAGATTATGCTCAAGGAACCCATTGGGTACTTCAGCAGCATAAAAAAGACCTAGATAGAAATGAAGGTTATGCTGAGTGAAAAAAGGAAAAATACTAAGTAAAAGAAAGGGAACCGACAGTGAAGTGAATGAAACCAAGAATCAAATCAATGATTTGGAACATAAGGAAAAAAAAAACATTCAATCAAAACAGCAAGAAAAAAAAAGATTCCAGAAAAACAAGGGTTGAAAGAAGCTTTTGGGACAATTTCAAACATAGCAGCATCCAAACCATAGGGGTGCCAGAAGGAGAAGAAAAAGCAAGAAATTGAAAACTTACTTGAATAAATGATGAAAGAAAACATCCCTAATTTGGTGAAGGAAATAGACATACAAGTCTAGGAAACAGAGAGAGTCCCAAACAAGATGGACACAAAGAGGACCATAATAAGACACATCGTAATTAAAATGCCAAGTTGAAAGATAAACCATCTAAAAGCAGCAAGAGAAAAACAGATAGTTACCTGCAAAGGAGTTCCCATTAGACAGGTGATTTCTCAAAAGAAATTTTGTAGGTCTGGAGGGACTGGCAAGAAGTATTCAAAGTGATGAAAATCAAGGACCTACAACCTAGATTACTCTGTCCCGCAAAGCTATCATTTAGAATGGAAGGGCAGATAAAGTACTTCCCAGGCAAGGTAAGTCAAAAGGGGTTCATCATCACCAAGTCATTATTATATGAAATGTTAAATGGACTTATTTAAGAAAAACAAGAAGATCCAAACTATGAGCATTAAAATGGCAATAAATTCACAACTCTCAACATTGAATCTAGAAAACAAACTAAGCAAACAAAAATAACAGAATCAGAATCATAGATATGGAGATCATTTGGAGGGTTATCAGTTGGGAGGGAGAAGAGGAAAAATGGGAGAAAGGTGAAAGATTAGGAAGTACAGATTGGTAGGTATAGAATAGGTGGGGGTGTTAAGAACAGTTTAAGAAATGTAGTAGCCTTAGACGTGAACTGGGATGGGGAGATCGCCAGAGGGAATGTGGGGTACTGATTGGAGAGAGACAAAGGGGAAAAAATTGGGACAATTCTGGGATTGTCCCAATTATGCTAATTGGGATTAATAGCATAATCAATAAATACATTTTTAAAAGTGTTATATCCAACATTTAATCAAAGAATATCTAAGTGACTATTGTGAGTTTTGTGCAAAGAAGAGACCAACTTGGAAAGAACATTGAGTGTTGGGCATTTCCTGCAATATGACAAGTAGGGAAGATCTCAAACTTCTTTTGGGTTGAATGGAGTCAGATTTACAAATTTGAGGATAATATGAATACATTTGCCTTATAATTTTAATCTTTAAAATTATAAAGGTACACATCTCATAAAGGTACACAATGATTATCACTGCTGATCCAAATCCATTCTAAGATTTTCCACCAATCACTCAAATGCAAGTCCGAGGTCATGTCTTCATTCTCCTGTGTTTCTGGATCTCAGTCCCCAAGGCCTACTAGGAAAATTTTTTTTAAAACTGTGCTCATGGCTGATAATTCTCAGTGACAAAAAGGAAATAGCTGCATCCAGATAGTGACATGGGGTGACTTAATGTAATTACTGGCATCTCACCATCACACCAGTTGAGTGACATCTGAGGGTACCCGAAGCCATGCAGGAAGGCAAAACATGCACTGTAAAGAAAACCTAGGCATTTAACAAATTCTAACTAAAAATCTAGATGTCTGCAGAGTTTCAAAATGAGGAAGAGTGAAGTTCTTCTGACTGGGGAATTAAACCTTAATGAAATGGATAAAGCTGGTGTATACAGTGAATGTCTGTGCCTTTTCCTCAAATTTGTAAACCATAATGTAACGGTATTAGAAAACAGGGCCTTTTGGAGGTATTTAGGTGACAGGGTGAAGCCCCATGGGATTATTGCCCTTATAAAAGAGATCCCTAAGAGCTCACTCACCCCTTCTGCCACATGAGGACATAGTGAGAAGATCGCTGTCTATGAAGCCAAAAGAGTGTCATTTTCAGTCACTGAATCTGCTAGAGCCTTGATCTTGGACCTCCCAGCCTCTAGAACTGCAAGAAATAAATGTTTGTTGTTTAAGCCACCTCACCCATGGCATTGTTATAGCAACCTGAAAGGACCAAATTAGTGTTAAATCCCCTGGGGAACACCCTAGCTGAAGTCCCATCCCCAGGAGTCCATAGCCTGTTTCCCTTTCCTGGACATTTTGGGAGATGTCTATTTTAAGCCCAAACCTCAGACTTCAAGGCCTTCCACTACTTTATATTTCCTGGTGTGGCCTACCCCAGCTGTACCATCACATCACTGCACGTTCAGGATCTCTAGTAATTGCTCAGCTGATCTTTACCCAGCATGAGTGGGCTTATGGACTATTTACATAGACAAAGCTCTGTTTTCTCTTATCATAATGCTTACTGCTGCTTTCTGGCCTCCCAAAGTTTGTTTCAAGTAATTCTTAAAGTCACCTTCCTTTTTCAGGTCTCTCTCTGAACCCTGCCCCTTGGACTGTTTGGAAAATATTAGCCTCCTTCCATCCTGTTCTAATATGAACACTCTTTCTAGCTCCTTAGGTCACCAAGAAAAGTAGGTGGGGGAAGGAAGCGGCTTGTTTGTTTTTCATTGCAGGGCCTAGGCCTGGCCCCTTTGGAAACAGATGAAAATTCTTCACAGTCACTGGATCAGCCTTTTTGGCCTCAGATAAACCTTGTTACATCTGAGAAATAAGCTTTTTCTTCATTTTTTTTAAGTTTCCTTTTCTTTTCTGTGGTCAGTGTTGTTTAGCCTCATTTTCTTCTCTTTATTCATCTCTTTGCTTTTATCCTTTCTCTGTAGCTCTGCTGCCAGTTGCTGCCAAGTTTCTTTATCATCTGTCCATACAGCCAGCTTAACTTTCTGAGCCAAAGGTGTCAAAGCAGAATGCATATGGGTGCTGTCAATCTTACATGGTGTGACTTAGAATTAATTTCTGATGCCTAGGAGATATGTAACCCATGAGCAAAGTAAAATTTGGGTGGCCCTGCAATCTCTAAATTAAAGTGCTCTCTCCCTAACTCTGTGTTCACTCTCCTGCTATTTTAGCTGACCTCTAGGTCAGCCTAGAGGCAAGGCATGCCTTTTGCCTTTTTCCCAGCTAGTTACCTAGATGTCTTCTAGGTCTTGGGCCTGCTTGTGCATTCCAGCCTCACCTTTTGTCAGCTCTTGCTAATCCCTTGTTTCCTAACTCCTCAGACACTATTTACTCTGGCCCTGCCCTAAACCCGAGGCTATCTTCAAACCCAAAAGTAGCAGTCTTGTCAGAAAATTCTCTAGCACTCCCTGTGCATGCCCTGGCTGACTCTCACCTCCTCTGGGACCCAGCATAGCTTGGACAATATCCTCTGAACACTGCATTCACCCTAGCCAGGTGGTCAAGCCAAAACAGCCAATGCCCTTCGCCCTCATGAATGAGACTGTGTGACTCAAGCTCACTCTCCCCACAGATAAACCCTGTATTGATGCCTCAAGCCAAAGTCCATGTCATATCCTTGCATCTGATCCAGATGCTGTGTGTTCTCTGGGCTGAATTAACTTTTCTCCAAATACTAGCTGGCAACCTGTTTATTTCTGCTCTAATCTTAATCTCTCTTTGAAATGCATCTTCTCATTTTCCCTTAAAACACAGCACAATCCAGCTCAGGACAGAACATATTACAGGAACCTCTATTTCATTGTTGTTGAATGGCTCAAAAAACTATGGTACATTTATGCAATGGAATTCTATGCAGCAGAAAGAAAGAAGGAGCTCCTACCCTTTGTGACAGCATGGGTGGAACTGGAGAGAATTATGCTAAGTGAAATAAGCCAAGCAGTAAAAGACAAATACTATATGATCTCACCTTTAACAGGAACTTAAACAACAAAACAAACAAGCAAGCAAAATATAACCAAAGATACTGAAATAGAGAACAGGCTGACACTGTCCAGAGGGGAGAAGGGAGGGAATTTCAGAGGAAAAGGGAAAGGATTTACAGGAACAAGTATAAAGGACACATGGACAAAAACTAGGGGGGTGGAAATGGGAAGGAGGTGGGGAGGGCTGGGGGGTGGTCTGGGATTGGAGTAAAAGGCAGAAAACTATATTTGAATAACAATTAAAATAAAATTAAAAAAAAAAAACTAGTTAGCTAGCCTTTCAATAGGATATACCTGTATCACTATAACTTTGGAAGATGTTTTATCTCCTCAGAGATCAAACCGGACTTAAGTACAGTTAATATTTATTGACAACTCACTGTTTACTAGTCACTGGCCTCATAATGCAGTACTTGTTTAACCTTTGCAATGTCCATATGAGGGAGATACCATTTTAACCCCACATTTTCCGGAATAGCATTAGACTTGGAGAGAATAAGCCACGTTCCTTGGGTCAGCCAGATAATCAGTGATAGAGTTGAGATTTGGACAGAGTTCTTGCTTTTATCCAGGGTTTCCCTCAGTACTGTTTGCCCTGAAATGTCTGTTCCTTATCCTTTACAACCTTTTAAGTTCCATTTAGGTATCAGTTTCTCAGGAGATAATTATTTTACTCATTCACCGAAGATTTTCTGAGCACTTAGTAAGTGGCAATGACTGTATTAAGCCCTGGGGACATACGAATTAACTAAAAAGGAGGAGTCACTCAGCAACAGCTGTGCTCAGGTACAGATGTGCCTGTCCTAGTTTAAGAAGTACCATGTTCCCCTTTAGGAGTTGTTTAGTGTCTGGAGAAAGGTTAGGCCCCTCCAAGGCATGCTCCAAACACAGATGGCTGTATTGTTCTCTGTAGCTAGGGCATTCAGCACAATTTCTGCATCGGTCATGAATGGGGCATTTTAAATTAATCCACTGAGAACACCAAATGTCAGAATGAGAAAGAACAATTGAGGTTATCTGATTTAATAGTCTTGCTTTAGAAGTGAAAAAATAAATAAATAACATGCTGAGGAGTTAACTTTTTCAAGATGACATGGATGTGTAGTGAAAGGATAGTTTCTTAAATACAGTTGTCCCAATTCCCCCTCCAGCGCACTCATTTAGACACCACACAGGCTCCCGGGGCGGGGGGGGGGGGGGATACTTGTTGAAGCCAAAATTTACAGTGGCTACAGGCAAAAATCCCCTGACCGTGGATCAGTTTCTCAGAATAAAACTCTTTCATTTACGCCATTGCACATGAAACATTTCTTCTAGAGTTATTTTTTTCTTAAAGTGGTATCTAAAAATTAGGCAATGGCAACTATGCAGAGTTGTAGGTCTAGCAGAACACAACTACTACTGATTGTTCGTAATGGTGTGTGGTCTTAGTACTGTCTCCTGGTACAAGCAGGAAAAAACAAAAAACCTAGAGAACTCCTTCATTCTTATGGAGCCTGCTTATTAATCAACATCAACACCAGTTTCTGTCTCCTTTCCAGGCCCATTTATCCATACTTGTCTAGTCCACATTCTTGGGTTTTCATTGCCACTGGGCATGGCTCAGTTCCATATACTCACTCGCCACATTCTCCTCTTATCAGTTTACCACTTTTGCAGTTTATCCTGACATTTAAGGGTGTAATCGTCTCCTCACCTCCACCACTGCACCCCTTGAAGTGTGAAGTTAGTTGCTTTGTTTTTTTCCCTCTGACACATTTGCTTTGTGCTATATTTAATTCTGGAACATTAGCATTAATATCCAGCCACACAAGTGAAATTGCTGCTGTGCATTTACTTCCACCAGGTACAGTAGGGGTTTATTCTGCTAATTCCTTTTGGGGATAGGGAAACAGATGCAAACACAATAAGAAAAGGGACTAAACTTCTCTCCACAGTATATTGAATACAAGTCTTTATAAGGAGTTTACATGCATGATTTTATTCTTTTGCTTTTCACCTACTTTTTGCCTTTTGCTGGCACACAAAGCAACTTACAAAAAGAGAGGCTGACAAAATAAAAGAATGTTCCCCTGAAAAGAACTTGCTTTTAACATAAAAGGAAATATAAATCAGCAATATAAACTATTTTTATAAAATCCCCAACTGCCTAGAACAATACCTAGTACAGAGTGGATACTCAAAAAATAATAATTAACCAGATGTGATTTCTTCCCTTCAGCCTAGTCTCCTTTTGGCTGCATAGGAGTTTAACTTGTGTTGTCCAATGTCTTTTTTCCTTTTCTCCTTTTCAGCTTTTCTTCTATGAAATCGTCCTCTCCTCCTTCTCCTCTTCTCTCTCAATATCCGTTTCTCCTTTGAGTTGCCTTGTTCACCTGGTTAAGCACTTAGACCACAGCAGGGCTTCCTTTTTTTAAGATTCAATACACCGCCGCCCATTAGAGCAATGATAAAAAAGATGTGTTGAAGGTTTGTTATCTAAATGAAAAAGCAACTGTTCGTCATGATTTAACTGTTTTTGTGTGTGTGTGTGTGTGAGAAAGGGGCTTATAAAAAGCAGTATTTTATTGCTTCTCAGCCTTTCAGCTAAGATCAAGTAAAAAGAGCAATATTTATTTGATTCTTAGGTGGTATGAATTTATTTAATGAATGTTAAATATGTAAGACAGATTACAATTCTATTCAAGTAATGAAATGGAGACCATTTGTGGGAGAGAAAGAAACACTCAAAAGTACTGGAAAGGGTGAGGGAAAGAGACAAGTACAATGGGAGGAAAGTGGGCTTGAGACTGAAAATTTCATGGAAAATCTCATGGCTTAACAAGAGAGGAGCTCTCTGTGTATCCTCAAAGGTCCTTCTGCAGAAATTTCATGTGGAGAGCAGAGCAAATGGGGAGAGTTGTGTTTCTCTCTGAATCACATCCACTGGGAACATAGGGATTGTTGTCTTCTTAATGCCTCAGATCTCATCTATGAATCTTACTTCATCCTCTTGGTCCTTCAGCTGCTTCAAATAAGAAGTTGACTGGAGCTAGATCTAGAAGGTTTCTAAGGTGATGTCCAAAGTCAGAGAACTCTTCTGGAAGGACTTCACCTGATGTAAGTAAGAGGCACTCAACTTAGGGGGCTTTAAGCTAATAAAAAAATCTATCCCGTAAAG